AGAGTGAGGGATGGAGTGTGAGTGATGGAGTGTGAGTGATGAAGTGTGAGTGATTGAGGGTGAGGGATCAGAGTTAGGAATGGAGATTGAGGGAGGACAGGAGGGATGGTGTATGATGGATGGAGAGTGAGAGATGGAGAGTGAGTGATCTAGAGCCAGGGATTGAGTGTGAGAGATGGAGTGTGAGGGATGGAGAGTGAGGGATGTAGAGTGAGGGATGGAGAGTGAGTGATGGAGTGTGAGGGATGGAGAATGAGGGATGGAGTGTGAGTGATGGAGTGTGAGGGATGGAGAGTGAGGGATGGAGAGTGAGGGATGGAGAGTGAGAGATGGAGAGCGAGGGATTGAGAGTGAGGGATCGAGAGTGAGGTATGGAGAGCGAGGGATTGAGTATGTGAGATAGAGTGTGAGGGATGGAGAGTGAGGGATGGAGATTGAGGGATGGAGAGTGAGGGTTGGAGAGTGAGGGATGGAGTGTGAATGATAGAGTGTGAGAGTCGAAGAGTGAGTGATGGAGAGGAGGGATGGAGTGTGAGTTATGGAGTGTGAGAGATGGAGAGTGAGGGATGGAGAGTGAGGGATGGAGAGTGAGGGATGGAGAGAGAGGGATGTCGTGTGAGGGATGTCGTGTGAGGGATGGAGTGTGAGGGATGGAGTGTTAGGGATGGAGAGTGTGGGATGGAGTGTGAGGGATGGAGTGTGAGTGATATAGTGTGAGGGATGGGGAGTGAGGGATGGAGAGTGAGGGATGAAGAGGAGGGATGGAGTGTGATGGATGGAGAATGAGAGATGGAGAGTGAGGGATGGAGTTTGAGTGATGGAGTGTGAGGGATGGAGTGTGAGGGATGGAGAGCAAGGGATTGAGTGTGAGGGATGGAGTGTGAGGGATGGAGAGTGTGGGATGGAGTGTGAGGGATGGAGCGCGAGGGGTTGAGTGTGAGTGATGGAGTTTGAGGGATGGAGTGTGATCGATGGAGAGGAGGGATGGTGAGTGAGAGATGGAGAGTTAGGGATGGAGAGCGAGGGATGGAGAGTGAGGGATGGAGAATGAGGGTTGGAGGGTGAGGGATGGAGAATGAGGGATGGAGAATGAGTCATGGAGTTTGAGGGGTGGAGTGTGAGGTGTTGAGTTAGTTGTGCTGTTAGTGTTGGTGAAGTATGTCTTGTTTTCAGTGTTATTGGTCACGCTTTTTCTGCGAGGACCTCCTATTTTGGTGTGAATCATGGGTTTTTGAGTCCCTCCCTCTGTGGTGCGAGGCACGTTTGTCTGGGGTCTGAGTCCCCTTATGCTTTTTTAACTCCACTCCTGACAAGATGGTTGAATGCGTCTCCAGGGTCTGTGTGGCCTGGGGATCAGTGTGTATCTCTGTCTCACCTGGTCTCTTTTGGGGGTTAGATGTCACCTTTTTGACCTTGCTGTGGTCTGTGGCAGGGAGATGCAGGGACCTGGTGTCCTGCAGGGTCCGTAGCGAGTGCCCCAGTGTGTTCCACCTGTTCTCTGGGGCTGAGGGGCTCAGGAGGAAGGACTTGCTTGGTGCCAGGTGTGGGTGCTCACATCTTCCAGCGTAGGTGGTCAACTGGCAGTCCTTGGTGTGCAGTTTGACATCCATGAAGAGGGTTGTGTGGTCCGGAGGCTGAAGTGGGGCAGCACAGGAAGGGGGTCCTGGGTGGCAGTGCCCTGTGCCTCTCGTCCTGGTTGCTGGCCCAGCCTGTCCCTGTTCAGGCACTTGCTCTACCTGGAGGCCAGGTCTGTGGTGCTCTTGGTCCTCTCCTGGCTCTTCCCGCAGGTCAGCCTGGGTGTGCAGCTCAGGGCGAGTGCACAGAGGCCCCGGTCCACAGTGGTGGAGCCCACAGTGTGGAGGTGCCTTTGGCCAGAGGCCCGTGGGGACGGACGGGCTGTCCCATGGCTGCACTTAGGTACCTCTGCATAGAGTGGAGAAGTACATGTGTAATTGTGCAAGCATGTGTACATGTGGAAGATGTCTGTAAACATGGTTCTCGTGTCTACCATTCTTGTAGAGATGCCCAAGTTTGTTGGCCAATGCCTTGTGTGGTCCTGCCTACAGTCTTTGCATATGCATGGGGACATGTGCACATGTGTGCCAGTGTGTGTTCACGTGGCCTGCATGTATGCATACACATCTGTGTAGGCAAGGGGGTGCCCAGGTGTGCATGTGTGTGTTGTTGGGGTTCTTCTGCATGCATGCTTACCCAGGCCTGTGCCCCTGTGGGTGCTTCACATGTC